TCAAAAGCCTTCATATAAAACATCTAGCTTTATACATCTTTCAACTAGTGTTTAAGCACTACTGTTCTTTAAAAAGTACAAACAAAAAGGTCTCATTAATTTCTCAATAGTTCTGTAAAGAGGCAGTGATTGAAGAGTTTTTAAAAAGATCTATACTAAGAATCTTTTTAATCAATTATATAATTTAAACACTAATAACTGGGTGAAAACCAAAATGAGGATAACTATGAACACATGTTTTGTAATGATATCTGAGATTCATTTTCAAAGCAGGCTAACACATTCTGGAGGCACAGCTACTAATAGGAAGTGCTCCTGAATCTGTAAAATACCAGATAACTAACTAATAACGAAACCACCAATAACCACTAAAAACTATTCTTTTTTAAAGGTATTGCAATAGCTGTCCTCATCCACCTTAAAATCTGTACTAGAAAAAGAAAACAAGAATCTAATTCATTTCTTAAATATCCTTCAGTAAGTATTCTACACAGTTTGCAACTGTGGGGGGTGTGTGTGTGTGTGTGTGTGTGTGTGTGTGTGTGTATGTATGTATTTTGTGGTATGCATATATTATTTTTAAAATTTTTATTGTGTTGAAATGTAATGTAAGAGTTCCCACTGTAGCCATTTTTAAGCACACAGTTTCATGGCATTAATTACACTGTCAATGTTGTGCAGTCATCATTACCATTTTCATCAAACTCCCCCGTCCTGTGTATATATTTAAATACAAGAAAGGTAACACTACCTGTAGGGATATGCCTTTTTAAAGGCCTGATCATCCACGTCTGTATCGGAGAAGGCAATGGCACCCCACTCCAGTACTCTTGCCTGGAAAATCTCATGGATGGAGGAGCATGGTAGGCTGCAGTCCATGGGGTCGCAAAGCGTCAGGCACGACTGAGCGACTTCACTTTCACTTTTTACTCTCCTGCACTGGAGAAGGAAACGGCAGCCCACTCCAATGTTCTTGCCTGGAGAATCCCAGGGACGGCGGCGCCTGGTGGGCTGCCGTCTATGGGGTCCCACAGAGTCGGACACGACTGAAGCGCCTCAGCAGCAGCAGCATCCACGTCTGCACACCTGAAGCTACCCTCGTCCTTCTCCCAGCAGCCCTGGCTTCCCGCGGGGCAGCTGTCCTGCAGCCTCCCTGGCCAGCCCCTACTGAAGATGCGGGCCCCCGGCTCTGCTGTGCGACAGCGCTGCAGGGGACCCCTCTCCCACCCAGACGCCTGTCCGACAGCAGAGCCGGGGGCCGCTCCTAGGTGCTGGGCTGGAGAGCAGACGCACATCACATGCCCACACAGACTATCACACTGTCCTCCAGAAAGCTTCGCTGGCTTATCTTTACCAGCTCCACAGCGGAACTGCCTACCAAACATGCCTTTCCTCACTCAAGACACTTTAATTCTCTGCTAATTTGATAAAAGAATTTCAAAATGAGCATTTTTCTATGTTTACGGGCTCTTTGTACTTCTTTCCAATGAAAAAATCTGTTTACCCCCTTCGCCCGTTTCTTTTTCTGAGCTGTTCATCTTTTCCCTGTAGATTTCAGAGTTCTCTATTAAATACAGAATTACCTGGTACCTCTGGCACGTTACAAATTCTTTTCCTAGGTGAATATTACTTTTTGATTTAAATGTACCAGTTCTATGGTTGCTATAAATTGTGTTGTGTTTAGAAACACCTTCTATATTACAAGGTTATTAAAAAAAATGTTGCCTATATTTTTTCCAAGTACTTAAAAAAAATAAACAGCTCTATCATTGTCCAAATTAAATTGTTCCAACACATTTAAAGAATAATGCATTGAATTCCCTTGACATTTACAGTCTAGTCTCTACCACAGTCAGGTGGTGAGACTGTGTTTTACAGGTAAGGAGTTTCCTCACGTTCTAGACAAGAAAGAAAAAGGTCACAGTGGATTGTGGGGCTGCTGCCAGAACATTATCCACCACTATGCCAGTCACTGCACTTACCTCTGCTTGCTCAGTAAGAAGCTAGAACCAGAAGGGGCCCCAACAACCTGAAATTAGGAGTTTTAAGAAAAACAAAAGGAAGTGCTATTTTACATATTAAGTTATAAACGTGTGAACTAACTACTCGGAAAGGCAGTATAGCTTCAAAAGTCAAGGAGGGTTCAGATAAATTAAAAAATAGTAGGCTCAAAGTTAGTTATTTATGAACATCTGCAGGTGGAATGTTACCTTTTAGAGAGATCTTTCTAAAAATATGATTTAAAAGAAAGACACGACAGTAAGAAAGATGGATAAGCAGCAGCAGCTGTGTGGCTTTAACCTGCCTGTGTGGGAAGAAAGCCAAATTCAAAACAAGTGGTGCTGAAAAGACTAAAAGGACACTGATTAGGAAGAGGGTGGTGTACTGAGCCGAGGGCAGGGGGCAGCCTGCTGGACCCACGGGCAGAGAGGGCTGGCTCCTTCCTCTGACGCACAGCAGGCAGATTCTTTACCAGCTGAGCCACAAGGGATGCCCTCCTCTGACACCCTTGCCTCCAAACAAACTGTCCTCTGGGGGAGAAGGCAACGCCAGCATCACTAGAAAAGCCCAAGAGGCATATCCCTGGAACAAAAATAGTATTTTCTTACCAACATTCAGAAAATGAAATAATGGAAAACCTGAGAGCAATGTTTTCCAAAGCAACCAATTAACAACAGTATTTATAAAACACACCACAATCTTGGCCCACTTAAATTGTCCTTACATCCCAGATAACTGAGACCATAGATGGCTGTTGAAAATATTTTTACCCTATTTAAATAAATCCAAATGCTCAAATTAATTAATTACGGTCATGCATTCTGTATTTTGTTACTCCTGGATTCAGCTTATTTTTTCTTTGCTTTCAAAGGATCTGATTAGATTTAATGTCAGATTGGACTAGAAAAATCCAACCTTTATAAGTTGGTTATAATTTCTTCTAAACAACCTGGAAGAAAAAAATTAGACTTACACTGACCAGTTTATACTACACTTAAGTAGTGAGAAATCTTCATAATATAACAAAATTTGAGATTGATTTAAAATTTGTGTTTATGAGTTAAACTGCTTCAGCCGATCCTGAGCTAATGGTTGAGACAGGTCCCTGAATTAAAATATGATAAATAGCTCTATGTTTTGTTTCCTTCACTTATTTTATGATCATTTCAATATAATTCCCCTTTATTGAAATGCTGTCCTTTACTTATTATTACAGTTTCACCCGTGTTTTTGTATAATTCAGTATAATTCAGTGAATCTCAACTGGGTTGACTTTGCCCATCTGGCAACATTTGGAGCCAGTTTTGATGACTATGGTGAGGGTGGTGCTACAGGCCAGAGACGCCGCTGGTTATCACAGTGAGGAGGCGTCAGGCCCTAATGTTAACAGCACCCAGGCTAAGAATCCCTGGTAAAATATCAAGCAACGTTTAACTGGGCTTCCCTGGTGTCTCAGTGGTAAAGAACCCGCCTGCCAATGGAGGAGACACAGGAGATGTGAACTTGATCCCTGGGTTGGGACGATGCCCTGGAGAAGGAAATGGCAACCCATTCCAGTATTCTTGCCTGGAGAATTCCATGGACAGAGGAGGCTGCAGTGTATGGGGTCACAAAAGAGTCGGATACAATTTAGCAACTAAACAACAACAAGATTTAACTACTATTTCTTCACATTTTATCTTGAGTAAACTTTAACTGGCCAACATTCTCAGGTATTATAGATTAACAAAATATAAGAGCATGCTCAACTACGGTGATAACTTCACCTCCGAATTTTAAATATCTGAGCCAGACTAATTTGTAATTCAGGATGTCCACAAAAGCTATTTTAAAATGTATAAAATCTGCAATTAACATTTAGCAACAGTACTTTGAAAAACTCTCTTAAAAGGTTAAGATATAAATATCCTATAAGCAGATAACTGTGAGATGGTTATTAGGCTTTACACTATTTAAAGCCTTTTATGCAGTTAAAAATATCAAGAGATATCTCCTAAAGCTCATTCATTTCTAAAGAGGTAGGAAGCAGTAACATTTTCAGATCCATCTGAAATAATCAGATAATCATTTAGCAATAACTGAACCAGGCCACAGTACTGGAGCTTCAGCTCCAGCATCAGCCCTTCGAAAAAATATGCAGGGCTGATTTCCTTTAGGACTGACTGGTTTGATTTCCTTGCCGTCCAAGCTCCCATCCTTTGGCCACTTGATGTGAAAAACTGAATCATTAGAAAAGGCCCTGATGCTGGGAAAGATTGAAGGCAGGAGGAGAGGGGGATGACAGAGGATGAGATGGTTGGATGGCAGTACCAACTTGATGGACAGGAGTTTGAGTAAGCTCCAGGAGTTGGTGATGGACAGGGAAGAATGGCGTGCTGCAGTCCATGGGGTCGCAAAGAGTCAGACACAACTGAGTGACTGAACTGAACTGAACCAGGTAGTCACCCAAATTGGTCAAATTCATTAAAATTAATATTAAAATTTCAGTGCATTTTTCTCAAATTATTCCACTTTTCCAAGTTTTCTAGAAACAGTACAATAACAGTACCAACTGCTGGATCTGTGGCCACCTTCACATGCACTGCACCTGCAAAGAGGAGGGGGCTCACGCTGAAAGTGCAAGTCATGAGCCAACGTCACAGAAGTCATGTCCTGCTCCAGCCAGAGCTTTGACACTGACCGCCTTGCCTCAAAAGAGGACCCTTTTCCTTCCTCGCCCTCACTTGCGAGGATATTCCCAGCTTATGGGGCCGGTGTTCAACATGCCAGACTTTCACAAGCAACTCTTAATGAACACCCTGCCTTCTCACTAATAATCAATGCTATAAAAACAGTCTGCAGCAGGCTTAAGAGGCAAGGTATTTGTTAGAACCCAGCAAAAGAGTGCCACACACAGACCTAACACTATTTTGTTCGTGCTTTCAGGGAATGGCACGAGCTTGACGCATTACAAGCTTTCACACGTGTGCTCTGTTCTGTCAAGCCAGAGTACGATTTACCTGGTTGTTACTGTTGGTGGCTGATGCACTGGCTTGGGCTGTACTTGCTGACAGGGAGTCGAGGAAGGCTTGGTCGGCCACTGAATTTCCACAAGCAAACTGATCTTTTCCATCACTGGGCAAAACCTGAACATTAGGAAGGACCACAGTTACTTACTTTCATAGATTATAGATTTATTTCAGAGTTAGAATCCCTGATGGCAAGTAAACTATCAAAAGGTTTCTATTCTTAAAAGGTATGAGCTCAAGAGCATCTGCCCTAACGATTCCTTTCTGCAAGTGTGCAGAATTCTTTAGAAAAACGCAACTAATACCAGGATCAGCTTATTACATTTTTCTCATTCTCGTCAGTTTTTAGGATCCTGAACGCACGGTGTACAGACGTCAAATACAACATGACATGAGACATATGGGCTGGGTTCAGGGACCTGTGAATCCTCTGAAGCTGTCTGAAAAGGTGGGGTGCCTGCCCATGCACATGTCGGGCTGGCCAAAGACTTCATTCGGGTTTTTCCAGAAAAGATGTTCTAGAAAAACCCAAACGAACTTTCTGGCCAACCTAACATTTCAGCAATTTCATCAGTATTGTCAGGAGCTCTCAAAACACCCCACTGAACTCTCAGTCAGGGACAACAGCCAGCCTTCCCATTTTGCAGGCAGCGCCCAGCACACACCCTCCCAGGGCACGTGATCTCTCTACTGGAGGGGAACCCAAGGCAACTCTGTTTCTGAGTGTCACTCCAGTTTTACTCACAGGCCACCAGGCAGGCAGCCTCAGTTTCTTGCTATCACCTGGGATGAGAGGCAAGCTCATCATGGACCCGGGCTCCGTTCTGCATGACCTACGGACAGCCAGCAGGGGGCGCCAGGAGGCTGACTCAGAGAGCCCTGGTCAGCTGGGTGGGGTGTGTCCCCACACCATCCTGGGCATTTATCACTACAGAGCTTACACTACAGCTCACTGAAGACCCTGGGTCTTTGAGAATGGGAGAAGGAGCTGACAGAGGTCCTAGATTAGCACAGGGAGAAGAAAGCGACCTCGGACAGCCTGCTACTTACATTGTGAATCTACTCTACGGTAAACAGTACGGCAGGCAGCAGCTTCTACACAGAATCAGTAAAGGGAAAACAGAGACTTTTATTCAGAAAAACTAAAAGTTGCTATCCTTGGAAGGAACTTTAGCTAAGTATTTGGAGTCACTCTTTGGCATATAAGTCTGTAGGTAATATTTCTTCTTGGTTCTACTTCAATGAATTTTCTACATTTTATATAATCAGCATGTATTATTTTTACAATGGATTTTTTTCATTAAAAATAAAGTTATCTTTCATTCTTGTCCTTTAAGTTGATAATTCATAAAAACACATATGACAAAGACCAGGTTTAATTAATAAACGAGAGTAAATTCTTACCTCAACATAGTCTGTTGGAACAAGCCCTCGTTCTCCTTTGCTGTTTCTTCCTTCCAGCCATCCTCCACCAACATCCTCAAAAAGGTTAAAAAGAAAAAAAAGACTATAGTTGGAATTTCCTGCAGAAATTTGGCTCTGGGAAATTGAAAAGGTAATTAACCCATTAACCTTTTCATTTCTACAGGGCTAACGCTGTTAAAAATTTCAAATTCTTAAGCTTTCTCTGTATGCCAGAAAAGGAAATAATTTAAAAATGAGAAAAATCAAACCTCAACAATAATTGATCAGAGAGAGAGAAACAGAATCCAAGATTTTGTAATTTCTTTCTGTTGACTGGTCTGTGGTAGACTGAAAAAATGGCTTGTAGCTCCGACTGTCAAGGGGCAGAATGCACCCCCACTTCCAGAACCTGCGCTGTGCTTCGTGACCTCTTCGGCCAACAGACTAAGGTGGAGATGACATGGGGTGAACACAGAGCTGGCCTCAAGAGGCTCTGCACACCTTAGTTCACTTTTTTTTTTTCCCCAAAAGAGCCGGTATTTGGGTTGTCAGATGATGACAGAGACAAGGCTCCGTCTCCCTGTTGGCCCACCCAAAGCCAGCCGACCCTCAGCAGGAGAAATGCCAGACAGACGAGGTCATGGTGGCCTGCTCTGCCCTAGCCCCGTGCTGGGCGATGCACACCCATGGATGAGCCCCGGTCAGGAGAACCACTTGGTTGGCTTGTGGATCCCCAAGCAACAATGATCGACTATTTGTTTAAGCCACTAAGCTTTGGGATTGCCTGTTATTTAGGAAAACTAACTGGCCCAACCTTCCTGAGCGCTCCTAGATAAATAATGTTAATAAACTAAACAGTAACGTACTCTATGCTAGGATTCCCAATTTTTAATGTTACCTTTGAAAAATCCTACTGCTTCCCTTTAAAATAATAAGGGCTATCTTAAATTCATAAACCATACCCTAATTAGTTAACATCCACCTGAATCTAGATAATATATTCTTTTAAAAAGTCATTTTAAATGACTTTGTCCATTTCTTGACCACAACAGCAATTTAAATACTATTTTACCGAGAAATTAAGAGTGCTTCTTCATTAAAAAAAATTAAAAAACAACAGTAAACATAAACTTTCACGTCTTCTATGATTAAAAATAGAACCTATTTACTTATACACACCTGGAATACTATATAAAACTACATATATTTTTTCTAACCAGCAATTCTTTTTTTAACCATCAGTACTGCACAAGCAACAGGAAGGGAATTCATGTGGGTTTGAAAGATCAGCCTGTTAAAAAAATAAAATCTTAAACATAAATCATTAAGAGACCAATTTAAACGTAACACTTCTCTTACCGGATTTGTAATTGTGATGATTTCACCTTCATTAACCGTCAGTTCATTATTTCCAGGTTCAGCAGAAAAATCATACATAACCCGAGCCTATTGGAAGTAAAAAGAGGAGGTTACAAATGTAAACGTAACAGTAAAAAACAAAACAAAACAAAACACCTATACTGCTCACTTTGTGAACAACATGTCATGACCGTGGTTGCGGTTATCTTGGAACAAAGGAAGACGTGGGATCAGAATGACTCACCAGCCTGTTTGTGAAGCAGAACAGCGTCAAGAGTGAGAGCCCTGCCCTGCCCTGGGACGGGGGAGGCTTCTGCTTGCTGCCCCACTGTACTCAAGAGATCGGCCCCAAAGAACTCAGAATGAACCCATTTCAGTAAGGGGAAAAGCGCACACATGGCCTTCCTTGCAGGAGGTAAGAAGTGGAAATACAGACACTGATCACTGTGGGCACACCGACTCTCAGGGACCGAGGGATCTCCGTGTAAGTATGTACACACATGAGATGCACAGTCTTTAGATGAACCTCCTGCTATTAAAACTCTCACTGTTCTTTACCTAGGGTAAATTTTGATGGCGCTGCAACCCCAGCCAACTAAAATCACAGAAATCTGAGCTGTGTGCAAGATATATTCATACTCTTCTACTAGAATATTTCCTACTAAGAAGAATAAAGTGTTGATTGCTCGGTCATGTCCGACTCTCTGCGACCCCATGGACTCTAGCCCACCGGGCCTTTCTGTTCATGGGATTCTCCAGGCCAGAATACTGGAGTGGGTAGCTATTCCCTTCTCCAGGGGATCTTCCTGACCCAGGGATCAAACCCAGGTCTCCTGTATTGCAGGTGGATGCTTTACCATCTGAGCCATACCAAGACTTATCTAGGGCTCTGGTATACTTGGGTCAGGTAACCTGAGCAGCTGTGATTTAAAAAATTTTTCTTACCATGGAATCTGAATCTCACAGAAAATAGACTAAAGGGAAGCTGCTCTGGTTGATGTGAGGTTGATGTGGCTGATGTGGAAGCTGCTCTTTCAGGCCCTTCCTCAAGCAGATGCTTGAGGCACCAACCCTGAGACGTGGGTTCCTTGTAATAACTGCCATGCACGTATTCCAAGAGAGACAACCACTGTTGTAAAAAATACATATACTTTTATAATATGTGCATTTAATCCGTCTCAAATTCTAAATAATTGTCTTTTCATGGATTGTCTTACAGAAGAAAGTCCATCTTACAAGTTAGAGACCACATGTACCCAGGAAACATGGTTTGTTTTAAACTTATCCTGGTGCTTCCCCAGTGGCTTAGTGGTAAAGAATCCGCCTGCCAAAGCAGGAGACGTGGGTTCGAGCCCTGGTCAGGGAGGATCCACAACTAAGCCCGTGTGCACAACTGCTGAGCCTGTGCTCGGAGCTGTGAGCAGCAGCTACGAGAGCCCCTGCGCCTGGAGCCCCAGCTCCAGGAGCGACAAGAGAAGCCGCCACAAGGAGCAGCCTGCACACCGCAACGAAGAGTGGCCCTCGCTTTCCGCAGCTAGAGAAAGCCCAAACAGCAATGAAGACCAAACAAGGATATAAATAAATACACAGAATTATATATAAAAAAGTAATTGTCCTAAGAGGCAAAGCTAAGACTGCCTACAGGGTTCATCAACTAGGACTAGTGGGACTACATTCCTTTAACACACATTTGCTGCACACCAACCACGTGGCAAGAACTGTGCTGACCAGTGCTTTCTCCACACTTGCTTAAGGATGCCAGCAATGCTTCTAACAGCGACCCAGGATTCACATCCAGTGGTAAAAGATTAGGGGAAAATATCCCAAATACTAATTTACTTTGAAATACATCAAAAATAGTAAGATGAACTGGTGGAGGAATGCGATAAAGCAGGTATAGTAAGTAAACTTATTTATGGAATCTGGATAGTGGGTTTATGGTGTCCAGTGGAAAATGAGTTCAACTTTTCTACATGCTTGAAATTTTTCATAATAAAATGTTGGAAAGAAACGAACAGCAGCGTACGGCATCAGATCCTTTACTTTTATACACTGGGAAGGGAGACTGAGAGCCAGGCTCAGGCAGAGTGAGAATTCTGCAAGTGTCACCGTCTTCCTGAGGTCACTACGGAGGACAGCGACCCTGGGCTGCGGCATGTTCCTCAGGCAGCTGCAAAAGGAGACAGAATTCGGCTTGTCCCGTTGGGGACCGAAACATGTTTTTGAAAACAGGTCAAACCAACCTCAATCCCTCACGCAATGAGGGCAGATGGGAGATAAAGGCCTGAGGGAGAGGGGGTGCTCCCCAGGCCAGGATGCACCCCCAGGACAAGAGCCAGACGAGAACCCACTGTTTTGATCCTGCTCCTTGAGGATCCATGGACGATTTTCTTGATTCAGTTAAATCCTACCAACCCTCAGATACAGAATAACAGAAGCCTCTCGTCTACTAAACTTAACAACTTGGTGAAACAGAATGTGAAACAAGTCAAAAATAAAAAAATGGAAACTCCCCTACACATTTAAATATTACTGAACATCTACCCACGGAAAATGTCTATAAACACTGTAGGTTTATTTTAAACATTGACTTAGGACTTTTTTTTTTTTAAACCTAGAGATGCTTCTTAAGAATTATAACTGAGACTAACTTTGGAGAAGATTTAAAAAGCACATCCCCAAATGAGCATAAATGTCAACAGGAAAAGAAAAAAAACAAACAAGGTCACTGAGCTGAGAAGAGCAACTCAGTTGCTCTAGGTGAGCAGGTTTAGCGCAGACTGGAAGCCCGCCAACACCCACTCCTCTCCCAGCTTCTCTCAGCCTCCGGCTCTCCTCACCTTCCTGCCTTCGCCACCACTACAGGATCCACACAGGTAAAGATGCTGACCTTGACCTCAACTGCCAAGCTGCCGACTATTTTTGATGTGGTCGTTGAAAGAAAAGGTGGTTTTTCTCACTGCCTCTTCCAGGGGTAGCTGTACTTTTAACAAACAACTCCAAGCATTTCAAGGGCTAAATTTCCACAGTTCCTGGTCAGTCAGAATTGGTAGCAGCCATCAAGAATGGCTCCAAAATTAATTTTCTTCTGTAATTTTTTTTTAAAGAATAGACTACCAGTAAAATTGATACCTGCTTTTAAAAATGTTTTTCCTAAAACGGGTTGAGGTGTGTTCTCCTGAAACATGACACACCTGGAGAGTTCTAACTGGCCAAACAGACAAGCACCGCAGCTTGAGAAACTTCCAAGATGAAGAGAAAAGTAAACAGAAATTCAGTTGTGGAGGAATATGTTTCCAAGAAACGAACAGAATGATCTTAAGTCTCTGTGTAACAAAAGGCAATTATACAATCACACGGGGGAAGAAATCCCTCAGAATACTTAGACTAAACCAAGCAAACTGTACCATCCACTTCCGTGTCACCCTGCCCCGCCTCCACTCCACGCATGCACACGATTCGGCAAATACTTGGACCAAGGGAATCCTAGGGCCATGTGTGACCAAACCGCTGGAGGCTGGGGTGACTCCAACAGGCTTTCTACCCAGACTCGCCCAGATCAAAGCTTCTTTATGCGGTGTACAGAACAATCAGATGAAAGCGTCTGAACAGTTCTTGGATGTGGTGGCATCAAACTGGCCAAATCACACATAGCATCACTACTACCCCAATCACTAATACATAAAACATGAGCTACCAGGGAAAGAAGTTTGCAATTCACATCAAAAGGGTTTTAAAGAGCATCTAGAACTCAAGAAAAAGACCGGCAACCCACCAGAAAAATGGGCAGAGAAACACACAGTTCACAGAAAAAAATAAATGGTCCTTATACCATTTATGTGTGGGGAAAAGATGCTCAATTCCACACCTAAAGGAAGACAAGCTAATCTGGAAGATGTAGCCAGATTTCCCTTCGTTGGGGACTGTACTATCTAAACCTCTGCTGGCAATGTGAAAGAAGTGGTTCTCCCCAGCTTCACAGACAGAATCAATCACCCAACCTTTGTATTTCTGCTCATCTGATAGACGTGAGAAATTTTGCCTCAATACAGTTTTCAAGATCAGTTCACCCTCAGATCCAGAAGTCTCATTTTGAGAGTCCATTCTCTACATGCATGTGTATACCAAGTCAGTTAGTGCAGCACTGTCTCCAATATGAAAAGACCACAGACCACCCTTCAGTTCAGTTCAGTTCAGTTCAGTCGCTCAGTCGTGTCCGACTTTTTGCAACCCCATGAATCGCAGCACGCCAGGCCCCCCTGTCCATCACAAACTCCCGGAGTTTACTCAAACTCATGCCCATCGAGTTGGTCATGCCATCCAGCCATCTCATCCTCTGTCATCCCCTTCTCTTCCGGCCCCCAATCCCTCCCAGCATTAGGGTCTTTTCCACCCTAGTAGCTACTAAAAGGGAATTTGTTACATAAACCACGGTATATCATCACAAGAAAATATGTAGCGATAAAAGAATGAGAACAATCTCTATGTACTGACACAACTACTGTATCACTAACTGAGGAGAGCCAGCTAGCTGCACAATAGGGCATGCAGTATGCCACTTTTTTTCATAGGCAGAAGAATACTTATATTTGCCAGTACTTCCATAAAGAAGCACTAGATAATTAAAAGAAATTCTTTTAAAACTGGTTGCCTGTAGAGATGGGAGAGGAAAATGAGCAGATAAGAATAGTGACATTTCTGTTTACTTCTTTTCATATCATTTTAACTGGGTACATGTATCACCTGGCTGAGAATTTTAAATGAAGATGGGGGGGGGCGACGTCATTTCTAGAATCAGCAAAAGATAAACTAGTTAGGAATAAAGTAGGGAGATGTGTAAGGAAAAACTGTACAACATTCCTGAAAGACACAGAAAATGGGAAGAACTGAGAAGTTCTGGCACAGTGCTTGCAAAAATGGCCACAATAATCTTCCCACCCCCATCTGAATCCCGCTGCAAGGGGACTCTGCCACTCCTCCCGGTACGTTAAGGGAAGGCTCTTTTTCCACCTCTGGACTCTGGACTCGTTCATGCGCCTGCCTTGGCCGACAGGGTAACAGCAACTGTGATACAAGCAAAGGCATGA